TTAATATTTCTTTTCTTAGTGAATCATTAATTTGAGTCACAATAGCTTTTAAAAAAATTAACTGAGTTAATTTACCAGTGATAGTAAGCTTTCAAACTGCAAATTTAATTTTTCTTTCAAATATTTAGTCTGCTTTGTTCATTCTATTTTATTAGGGATAGATTAAGTTTTAAAGCAGAGCGTTCTGAAGTTTAAAATGTAAAAGCTGAATGGAATGTTGACTGTTCTTTTGCTATGATTCATAACCTATCTCGAAGTAGGCTGAACTTTTTACTAGCTTCCTTTGGCCTAAATGAAAGCAGCTATTAAGTGTCAAGCCCAGCGTTTCAATTAAAAATAGGCAATTATTAACAAGCAAGAAAGTTGGTCTTTGCTTAGACAATGGACAAGTTAATACGAACAGACTGTAAGTTACAATTTATAACTGGAAGACAAAGGGGATCATAATGTTTAAAATCTGAAAGTTCTACCTTCTTAATGACGTCCTGGTGTTGTTAATCAAAGTCACAATGCAGCTGTTGCAAGATTTCTTAAGAAATGGAAACAGAAGCTATGAAGAGCACAGGAGAATTACCAGTAGAAGATAAAGTCACCTGAATCATGTGTAAAATTCCATGCATGATTCAAGTGATGTCCACTAAATTATTTTCTAGAACCACCACCATCTAGATGATGATAGAACTGCAGAAAAAACTATTGCTACCAGCCTGTCTTCCATTGAGGACCTGTATACTGCATGAGTCAAAAAGAGGGCTGTGAAAATATCTACAGACCCCTCACATCCTGGACATAAATTGTTTCAACTTCTACCTTCAAAACGACACTCTGGGGCACTACACATCAATACAACTAGACACAAGGACAGTTTTTTTCCCCAAATGCCATCACTCTGCTAAACAACTAATTCCCACACTGTCAAACTATTTACTAAGACTGTATTACTATTCTCATCCTTCCTGTTACCTATCTCCTCCCATTTATGACTATAACCTTGTTGCTTGTATCTCTATGATTTATATTGTTTTATTTGTATCCTAGTATGATTTGATTGCTTATTTAATAACCTATGGCTATCACTAAGTATTATACCTTATGATCCTTAATGAATGTATTTTTTTTCTTTTTATGTACACTGAGAGTATATGCACCCAAAATGAATTCCTTGTGTGTCCAATCACACTTGGCCAATAAAAAAGAATTCTAGAATTCTAATTCTAATCGAGGCAGAAATATGGGAGCTTCTTTCTTTGAAGTTCAACATTCTTTCCTTCAGGCCAAATTTGGATACTCCTAAAATTAACCAAAAATGGGGGATACCATTACCTCACAGACAAAGTCATTTTTCTCTGACATGAAAACTCCACTTTCCTCAAACAGTAAGCAATGCAAGAGGAAACCTGAATTGAAATTAAGCCCAGGTGACCTGCAATTTTAGAGCCACAGATTCCTCACCCTTGATCTGAAAAAGAATGGAGCATTATATAGTTCTGTATGAAAAGTACTAGATTATTTTTTGGTACATGATATATTACTGTATTTAATAATAAATCATTGCAAATTGTATATATTCATTGTTTATGAGATATGAAAAATTAAACCTTGTATCGATTAAACCAAAGTATCTAAATTACTAGACTCTTTCATCTCAATTTTGTTATTATTCTTTAATTCAATCCTAACCTGGTTTTTATATTTTATAACTACCAAACTAACACTGAAATGATTTACAGATGTTTTACTTTCTCTCAGATGTATTTTAACAGACTGTGGCTATTATGCATTATTGTTACTTGATAGATTAAAGTATAATTTCATGTTGATTTTCTCACACATCTAGGCTCAAAGAGAGTGTGCCTGGTATATGTATCCCAAAAGCATATTCATACTTAAGAAGTCAAATTAAAATATATAGGATCAAAACTAAATGAAAACAATATTTCAGCATTTTAAGCATCTCTGCCTAAGGTATATATGTTAGAATGATGGAATCTGAAAAATGGATAAAATGGTAGCAAGGAAGCTAAAGTCTTCAAGAATAACAGTGTGTACAGCAGCCAGTCAATTTGCGTTTTCTGATCTCTTCCTTGAAGCTGTTTTTTTTTTTTGCCCAGCACATCCCGTTACTTCCTCTAGAGGGCACACATGCTCTAATATGCAACAAAGTTTTAAAATGTCATGTCCTGTTCACACTGACATTAAATAGGTTAACTTAAGTTTTATACATATAAAAAGATTTAAATTGTCTAATTTTGGAGCTGATGTGGCAATAATATAAACTTGACCATGCAACAACCTTTATAGCTGAAGTCTTCCATTTGACAGGTCTGTTAGTGGTAGAATGATTGCTTATCTGGAAGCTAACCCACTAGTGCAATATTTTGCCAGCAGATCTACCAATCTACTTTTTTGCACGCATAGCCTAAAAAGGGACAGATACTAGTAAGCCCAGATATTAACTAGAATATGTGGAAGGAATAATCAAAGGTATGATAATATTGAGGCACATAATGTCTTTCTTTTGTCAGCAATAATAGCTGTTATGCTATAAAAGAAATGATTCAAGTACATCAAGAAAACTTGGCCCAATCACTCAATCTTTGGAAGGGTATGAATTTACTGAGAAACAAGAGCCGCAGGGGGGTAGTAAGGAGTAATTTCATCTATTTGGCTTCTGGAACACTAATATTTGTGGCTGACCACATCTGTCATGTGAGAATAACTGTCACAGGTCTCTAACGTGCAATGTGGCTTGAGAAGTTGAGAAGAAGATGCTTTATGAGCAGGGAGAGTCTTATTCTCAATGCCGTAAATCAACTTTAGTTCCATCATCCATTGTGGCTCTGGTAGAGTATGTCTATTTTTATCTTTAAGCTTGAATTTAACTCTAAGATCTACATCAGGGGTCTCCAACCTTGGCAACTTTAAGCCTGGTGGACTTCAACTCCCAGAATTCCCCAGCCAGCACTGCCAAGGTTGGAGACCCCTAATCTACACCATACTTTTTGCATAACTATACACAACATGATTAATGCTACGTTGGATTCACTTCTGTATATTCTAATCAATGACCATATCCGGTTTCTTCATTTCCTCAGTCCTCAAAACCTTTTCTTTGTACGTTCTGAACATCCAAATCCATTTCTCTCTGATACTTTACAAAGGAATATCATATTCATGGGAGTTGTCTAGTCTACCACACTGCATAGAAATTACAGTGTTCCTGTTAAAAGGCTGTCAATGTTTTTAATATCACAAATCAAACCTGAAATCTGAAAAAAAAAAATCACTTTATAAATAAAAGGCACTGAGCCCATGTATATTTTTTCACAATTTAGAAATGTTCATGGAAACTATACAGTGATTCTTCCAAGGAATGTGGGATGAAGCGTGTTGTCGCTCAAAGACTAAATTGAACCATCTCCTGTTTGAGTCATTAAAACAATGGCATGTCAAGTTTTGTTTCTTGGCCAAGCCTAATTCCATCCAAGGACACAGAGATATTTATGGTTGCTTAATATTTAATCCTAACGTGATTTTCAGTGTGAAGAGATTTCATTTTTATAATTCAAAAACTAAAAATACGTCAAACAAAAATAAAATAGAATAACTAATAATGGACATTGATAATTGAGCACTTTAAAGTTTGGCTTTCATATACGATGGGGTTAAGTTTATTTCTATTTTATCCAGCTTCTTTTATGATTGCTGTAGTTTTATATTTTTGCTTTGTTAACATTAAAATGTCTCAGTCAACACTCCAAGGCATAATAGTGGTCTAACAAAAACAGCTATGATGGAATTACATCTGGTATTGTTAACTGTTTTCTTTTATTGGCACCTGTTGTGTTGACTATAGATTTAAGTTTCAGTAATCATAGATTTCTAACTTGATTAGTAGTCTTCTACAATTTCCCAAAGCCAAAAGAGATCATTCATAAGACCAGGTCTTCCAAAATTACTTGGTAATAAGAAAATTTATATACTTATACGCTAGATTTTACTAGACTGCTCCCTTCAGAATGTGTTTTGTGACTTGAAAAGCACTGTGATAGAGAAGATTGGCATGTTCAGAAACAAATAATGAGAATGTAAAAATTCAACATTGAGAGCTTGCTATCTTTCTGTTGTGGGCCAAAAGAAGGAACTGATTTTCTGTTCTTTTAACTGCTTTGGCAGATGATGGTTTCTATATAATTTAAAATACCCTTGAGCTGATAGCATGAGAGATGTTATCTTACATAGATTAAAACACCACTAATTCCCAAAGGGCTTAAGGGAAGATTGCAAACCACCAAACATTTCAGAAAAATAACTTGAGGGCAGATCCCATGATATTTTTCTCCACTCAGATGCTCCTCAGATACGAATGAGAAGGATTCCTAATTCCTGCCCCTCCTGTGTTGAAGCACCCTCAGAACTGCCCCAGAGATCTGGAAGAATTTGATGGGAGAAGGATAGTGAACTAATTCATTATGCCATTAAGTAGCAATGGCATAGAATAGTCATCTTAAAACTATTCCTTTCTTTTCTATGTTTTGAGAAATCTGATCCTAATATGTATTGCTATAACCTCCCAAACATTAATGCATGATCCATTGTATGACTTGCTTCTTTTTTAGACATGTACACAATTATTTTTCAAAAATAGAATTTCCTGACAAAACTGGAGAAGTTTTTAAGAAGAGATTGGACTGTCACTTGTCTAGAATAGTACAGGGTTTCCTGCTTCAGCAGGGGGTTGGACTAGAAGACCTCCGAGGTCCTTTCCAACTCTTGTTATTATATTCTGTTGAATTGAGTCAACTCTATAATTAATTTCCTAGCAAATAAGTGCATGCTGAAGAGGAAATAGTTGACAAAGTTCAAAATTATCTGGATTGTATCTGTATTTCACTTAAAACCTCCCAGAGCTTAGCTGCACAGGGGAAGTAAAGATACATCTGCAATATAACTTAAACCACATTTTAAATTCTTCTTTGTTTTTCTTCTCCTTCTTCTAGGAACCCAGGCCTTTATATACTAAAAGGTGCCAGTATTATACAAGTGGAATTGGATACTTATTTGATGCCTACCAGACAGAGGTAAGCTATTATGTTTAGATTAAGATCTGGCTTTGTACAGAACATGGAAAGGTGACTTACAAGGTGACTGTTTTTTTAATCTCAGCACTCAATCACTGGAGATTTACTTTCTGTATTTTGGCAGCATAAAAATGCTATTGTATGTGTGGCAAGAATATTTGCTTTGGAACTGAAGTTCATTCTATTCTTGTTACATAAATGATTTGTTGGGAAATGCCATTGCTCTTTTCCTGCGGATGTTTGTGTGGAATGACATTCGGTCAGATGTACCCAAGTTACCTTAATAGCTGATGATTTATATTGGCCCCCAAACTTCAACTTTTAATTGTAATAACCTGACAAAATCCAAGAATGCCTGCAGATTCTATCTGGAGTCCTTTTGGTCTTCAGCCAAGGACAGGAGCAGTCAGGCACAATCCTGGGCCTGAAGTAACATTTTGGTTCCTGTTACTCTCAGGAGGTGGGGTGTTTTGTTTTTTTTTGGCTGTTGTTTTGTTTTGGCAGAGTATACTTCCAGCCTATTGAATAAAGATACACATAAACAAAACAGAAATAGGATGTATGTGTGTGTGGGGGGGGGGGGGGGGGGGGGAGAAGCAAGCCCAGGAGAGAATCTAAACTTAACCTATTCAATGAACTGTTGTTTTCTGAGAAATAAAATTAAGGCCTCTTTAACGTAAGTTCCTCTTGGCTTCTAGGTGCTCACGAAGAAAGGATTTTTCAAAATGACCATCAGAGCATTAGTATTTTGTATATTATTATTAACATGCTCTGATGCTAAGGAGTTCTACTCCCCCTCCCACCTGAAAAGAAATCTGTTCCAAATGCAAAACACGAGTAGAGAAGAGGAGTTTCAGGTTCAGTTTTAGCTTCACAGCACCAAGCAGCTTTAGTACAGAACAGTTGAGCTAAGCCACGCCCAGGCTCCTTGCTGTCTCCTTCTTGCTCACACATCAAATAGTTTCAGTTTCAAAATAGCCCTCAACTCTCTCACACACTGACAGGACACTAGCCAGATGAATACCAATGGATGCTGGTAGACAGAGGCAGATTTCCCCCTCCCTTATTTCCCCCCAAAAAAACTAAGCCCGACCAAATAGTTTTGTAGTGAAGCACGGGCAGTTTTTTGTTCCATGCTTAAATACTCAGCAAATATGGAAACCAATGCAATGAACAGAATCTGCCATCCTGAAAATTGACAGTTTTCCTTATGTTCCTACCCATTTTTGCTGGACAGCCAGTGGCTTTTATCTCAGGAGCCCTGAACTCTGACATCAATTCTCAGGACGTATTTGAAGATTCACCCTCATTGCTCTTAATTTTCCCACACTCTGTCTAAAACATGAAGGCCTGTAAAAAAAAAAAATCAAGATGGTGGCTGCAACAATCCGATGAATGCAGTGCCAGTTTTTCTGTGCCTTGTCTGGACATCACAACTACTGTCTTTACTTTTTTTTTTTTTTTTTTTTGACTATAGCTTGCAGACAGCCCTGGCATCTTTGAAAAGCAGTTACATAGATCTCTGTGGAATTCATTTATGTTATTAATTTTTCATATGGAATTTGAAGTTTTGCACATCTGCCTTAGTCTATTAGCCTCCTATTTTGTCACACACAATTGATTTTGCAGCGTCTGTGAAATGTGCTGTTTTCAAAGCTAGTGTTGCAAAATGGGGATTGTAGGAGGAGTTAATAGGAAGTAAATAAAGCAGAACTGAAAATGCAAATAATGCATTTTGCAAAGCTCCATATAGGCACCATTGCTTGTTCTTTTTGTTTCTCGGGACTTACAGGAATCATAATGCTTAATAATTGCAAAAACTTTAGACCTTACAAGATAAGCTCTCTAGGAGGCCAGCTGAATTCCGATCAAGTGAAGGAGCCGAATCCAAGTCTGAAACAACAATGAAGAAATGAAATCCTATTGCTCGGGAAACAATTGCTGCTTCCCAATCATACTTCAGAAAACAGAGACTACTTCCCATCTTGGATCAATTCTAGAAAAAAAAATGAGGAAGGATTCCATTCCTGGAAAAATGATTCACTTTCCCTTTATCGATGAGGATAGGTTTTCCAGAGTTGAAAACTAATGTAAAAACAATGGATCAAAGAAAGTATGGATCTCAGAGCAGCTCAGAGCTGGCCTACATTTATCTCTTGCCACTGATTGAAATTGGATGACTTTAAAAACAAAAACAAAAAAACAGAAGCTGTAAATTCTCCTCCTTCCTCATTTCTTACCTATTGTTTCTCCCACCAACAAGATTCTCAGCTGCATCTTTGCTCTATCTCTGAAACATCTCTGAGGTTTAGGCAGGGGTGGGATTCAAATTTTTTAACAATCGGTTCTGTGGGCGTGGCTTAGTTTGTGGGCATGGCTTGGTGGTCATGTGACTGGCTGAGCATGGCCAACTCAACATCACTCACATTGAGGCATGCTTCTCCTCTCATGACTGTGGGGATTCTGCAACAGTCGTAAGTGTGAAAAACAGTCATAAGTCACTTTTTTCAGTGCCATTGTAACTTTGAATGGTCACTCCACACAAGCAAAGTACCAGCAAAGGAGGGGGAAAAACTCCAGAGAAATTCCTGAGACAGGAAGTCTAGTCCTGCCAAGAATGTAATAAGGGTTAACTGAGAGAAGTTTCTGTAAGCAACACCAGAATGTTTCCTTCCTGCCTTCCTTACAGGATTAGGCCAGTAATTTCTTCTAACAACTGGTTCTCCAAACTGCTTAAAATATTAACAACTGGTTCTAGCGAATAGGTGTGAACCTGTAGAATCCCACCCCTGGGTTTAGGATTGTATCTGGCCAGTATCACTGATTACCATATATTATAGTTTTCATTCCTCCTATCATTTTTTTCCTTCCTAAAAAGCAAGGGTACATGACAATAAATTACATAATGGCATAGGCTCTTAGACTTGAATGGGCCAAGCCCTGTCAAGGCAAGATCCAGCTGAAAGCATCCCTAAAAGATGGCAGTTTAGCATTCGAATAGTTCAATGTTGGAAGCCCAACCTCTTCCTGGATAACTTATTATCACACAGATTTCAGTGGATCAAAGTCCCCTTATCCTCAGTATATCATACAGATATATAAAAATATCTCAGAACATTGTTTGTTAGTCATTGAGAGCCAATTTGGTGTAGTGCTTAAGGCAGTATTTCTCAACCTTAGCAACTACTATAAGAATTCTGGGAGTTAAAAACCACTCATTTTAGAATTGCTAAGAATGACAGACCCTGAGTTAAGGTATCGGGCTAGAAACCGGGAGACTGTGAGTTGTAGTCCTGTCTTAGCCAGCTCTCTCATTCCTAAGAATTGTGGTGGCCATTGTAATGGCAAACTACTTCTGCAACCTTGCCAAGGAAACTGCAGAAACTACCCCAGGCAGTCACCAAGATACAAGAATATCTCAAAAACATACACTATTAATAGCCTCTTCTACATGTTCTGGGCATTTCCATGCTGTTAGTAAGTATTATAAATTGTGTCCTCAGAGACAGCCATTCATGCAACCAGGAAACATGTTGGGGACTTACAGTTCAACCAGAGTTAAACAGGGAAACCATCTAAGAATCCAGATTGTCCTCAACTTTGCCTTTTCATCAGTTATATTTGATACATTAGTGAGGCCCAGGTGACTAGCCTAGCGAGGTTTGCTCATCTTGGAAGGTGAGGAAGGAATTTCTGTGAGGCAATTTCTTTGGAATTTCTGTGAAGGCCTTTCTGTTCTGGTGAAGGACAACCCTATTCAAACACCTTGAAAGCAAATTTAGCAGTACTTTTTTCTACGCTTCCAGTGGCTCCTGGTTGCCCATCCATATAAGAGGAGGTTCAGCACAGTGGGTGGCACTAATAATTATCAGTTGCCTTCTCTTTACAGGTGACCTGTTATGCCTTAAATAACAAATGCCAGCTGAAAGTGAAAAGTAACACGTGTTACTGCTGTGATTTATATAACTGTGAAAAGTAAGTATCTCTTAGACCCAGGGTTAGAGATCTCAAACCCTGATCCATGGACAGTACCAGACTGGTACATGGCCTATTGGGAACTGGACCATGCAAGTGGTGGGCAAGCATGCAAAGCTTAATTTGCACATGCATAGGAGCTAGGTCCATGGAGCCAGGACAGGGAGTGGCTGTGGACAGGGAGAAGGGAACTGTGGTGTATGTTGCCCAGAGTCACTTTTTGTGAGATGCATGGCCATATAAATTTGCTAGCTAGCAAGATAGATAGATGATAGATAGATAGATAGATAGATAGATAGATAGATAGATAGATAGATAGATAGATAGATAGATAGATACATACAGATAGATTCTTAATTTCTAAGTTTGAACTCAGATATTTGACAGTAGTAAGTGCTCATGAGAAAAAAGAGGAGCCACTGCCATTGCCTACTTAATCCTAATCCTAACCTACATAACCCTGAATTTGTAAGTTTTTTGATAGAATCCAAAGAGCAATAAAACTTGGCCCGGGGCATCAACTGAATGGATAAGCCCCAGGTTCTTTGTTAAGATGTACCCTCTCTGCTTGCTCTGTAACCATAGTCCTTTTCAAACAAATGCTCTGTTTAATAGTATCATTCATTTATTTTTGCACCTGTAGCTCAGATACTTTTTACTAGGTAGGGAACACCTAAAAACATATATACACCATGTTTAAACCTTCCTGTCCCCTGAACCTTATTTATGAAACATGTCTTAAAACATTAATCTTAAGGATGAACTTAAAGTTGTTCATGAAACATAGCGATAATGATTTAGGATTTAAAAATTCACAGATTCATTTGCACAAAATCCCTTATAAGGTTTTTAACAAGTCATCGGGATCTGGTATTACACCCTTCTAAATGTCATTATATTAAGCAGGAGTTTTCTAGATTGGGTGGAAATAAAATTAAGTTGGTGCATTTTACCATAACTGGTGGTAAGAGTTGCTCCTTCCCATCTTTCATAAGGCACCAGGCTAGAGAGAAGGAAACTATGAATTAAAGTCCCTCCTTAGCCACGAAAGTCAGCTGGGTGCTTTTGCAGCCAACCCACCTCTCAGGATTGCTGGGAAAATAGGAGGAAGGTGTGTTGGATATATTTGTCATTTTGAGTTGTTTGTAAAAACAATAAAGGCGGGGAAAAATTATTAAATTAAATTAATAAGAATTAAAACCAGCTTCTGCCATTAATTATCAGCTTTTCCCTTATCCAAGATAGAAAATCTAAATGCATTTTGCTTTGGATCAAAGTTAGATAAGTATGGGAAAGCACTTTCACTGAAAAAGTAACAACAAATAAACTTGAATGACTCTATAATTAAGGGAAAGGTTATTCAAATTGTTGGATTAACATTTTTGTTACGATAGTAGTTTATACATTTATTGATTTATCCAATCTATATGGCCACCAAATGACTCAGAGCAGTGAACAATGTTAGAATACAACAAAAACAATTGTAAACATTACAAAAGTTAAAATACAAAGTGGCTGAGCAACGTCAACTAAAATCATGAGCACAACCAATACGCTGATCCCTGTACTCTGTAAACCCCAGGCATAGAAACATGTCTTCAGAGCCTTAGGAGAGGCCAGCAGGGTTGGGTCCATCCTCATCTCCTGGGTGCTATCTGAGAAAAGACATGACTTCTAGGCATGTCAACTAGCGTCCTCTATTCAACAAGAGTCAAAGCAGGTCCATCCTGCCAGACCAGATCAGAAGAGTAAAACAATTGGGGAGGGATGGTTCCTCAAGTAACACAGTCCAGTGGTGGGATTCAATTTTTTTTAGTACCGGTTCTGTGGACGTGGTATGGCTTGGTGGACATGGCTTGGTGGGCATGGCAGGGGAAGGATACTGTAAAATCTCCATTCCCACCCCACTTCTGGAGGAAGGTTACTGCAAAATCCCATTCCCTCCCCACCCCACTAACCTGCTTTCCAGCTCCGTTCTCCTGTACAGGGCAACAAAAGAAGACTCAGCTGGGACTCGGGAGGCAGAGAATAGATGAAGGTGGCTGGCCAGTCAAAGGTGGTATTTGCCGGTTCTTCAAACTACTCAAAATTTCTACTACCGGTTCTCCAGAACTGGTCAGAACCTACTGAATACCACCTCTGACCCGGTCCCAATCCACAAAGACCTTTAAAAGTGACAACCAGTACCTTGAATTACATTTGGAAGGGTATTGGCGGCCAATGTAGTTCACAGAACATTGGGGTACCTGTACTGAATACCTGGCAGCATGTACTACTCGCATTGCTTCATTCTGCGCCAGTTGAAACTTGCAGGTGCTCTTTAAGGGCAGTCCTGTGTAGAGCGCATTCCAGTAATCCAGAAAAGAGGCCACAAGAGCATAACGGTAACAAAGATTTCACTATACAATGTTTTCCAGCATAAAAATGTGGACTTTAAAAAAATGTATTCCTCCTTAAAACTAAAAATGTTTTCGCGTTCTTTGTATTTGTCTCATTAAAAATAAAACATATTTAGCACCTTGCTATAGTTTTTAATCCTAGGCATCTTGCCAAGTTACCCAGACAGATATTGTTAAAGGGGGGGGGGGACAGGAAAAGAAGGAATTAGTACATTCCAACAGATGTGATTTCAAAGGAAGAACTACAATAAGAGAGAAGGGACAAGGCTGGAATGGCACCATTTTGCTTTTCATCAGGTGTTAAAGCTCTGATGTCCTGTTTCCAGCTCAGAACACTCTACCAGCTATTATGAATTCCTTGGGGTGAGCAGCTGTCAAGATGTGGTTCACCTCTACCGACTGCTTTGGTCATCCACCGTCTTGAACATCATTGGCTTGTTCCTCGGCATAATCACAGCAGCCATACTTGGAGCCTTTAAAGATGTGGTAAGTGTGCTGTCCAGCCAGTATATAGTAATGGGAATTGAGAAAGTTAAGTTAGAATTGGGAGCTGTCCCCTTAAGGGAATGCCTCATGGCAAATGTGGTCAGTGCATCCTGGGAAATGTATTCCATGACATGTAGTCACATCTGTAATCCTGATTGGTCACTGAATTGAGCCTGGCTGGGTTGGGGGAGGTTCCTTCACCCTTGCTCGGACCCCAGCATCGTGCTGGCGTCTCTCCTTTTTGCTCCACCACTATGGGATGAAAATATCACTATCCTTTCACACTAGGAAGTCAGTTATGCAAAGATTTGGACATTGAGATGAATCTCAATGTAACCATGTGTTATATATGAGGATACCTGATGAACCAATAAAGAAACTTTGTATGGATGCTTTGTAGAGTTATCTGTCTGTCTTTATACATTCAGCCAGTAATTATAAAGGACAGAATTCTTGCTAGCATGTTCGTGTTATCCTGGCAAAATAAAATATGAATATGCAGTACTTTGGACTTGCATCCAGAGTATGAATGACATGTCCTAAATTTATACTTATACGTCCCTTCTTAGAAGCCTGGTTTCCTGGGATGGCTGAAGTGACCAAAGAAAAATATGTGTTTGAATTAAATAGTTGCTATGTGTACTCACATAGCTCAGAATTACCTTATGGCACCCTGGAGGGACTCAAAATATAATGCCACTTTAAAATTAAATCTAATCCTGGTGACCATGGATAGACTGTGTTCATATTGTTTTCTTGTCAACAATGTCTATGTGATTGGCCATTATTTTCTTCAAGGACATTTACATTTTTGAGTCACTTCCTTGTGTTCTGGATGCATAAAAACAATTTCTAAGGACAGATTTCATAAGATACTTCATAGATCTGATTAATTGTCCATAAAACCAAAACCAATTGAAGCAAGATTCATGCTCTGTCTGTTACTGATTAAATAGCTAACAGTATCAGTTATAATTTGACTAATTTAAAAAGTACAATTTGAGGTAAGTCTTGTCATCTTATGACGACCTAGAGATGCTGCATGTATATTGCCATTAATCTCTTCATTAATGCTTAATTTAGAATTTGAAGGATGGATACCTAAGAATGAAAACATTAAGGGAAATACCAGGACAATAACAAATCTTGAAAAAAGTTTATTAATATTTCCCCCCAAATATACTCACAGTATTTGGGGTCAAGGGTTTGACCCCAGTCAAGTGAGCCCAATGGAGGGGAAGGTTTCTGGAACTCAACTCACAAAGAAACTGTGTAAAGAGGCAAAGCATATAGCCATTTTCCCCACTTCCCCTTCCTTTATAATGCTCATCCCAGGGGTGGGATAATTAACAAGAAGACAATTAGTTTGTACATTCATTGGAGAGGAAGGGATTACAAGAGAGTAAGCAGGGACACAGTGAAGAAAACACCCTGAAAGCAATGCACTAGTGCTATCCTTTGCCTGGTTGTTTTCTTTTTTTTATTTTTCTTTTTTTTAATTTTTTTTAATTTTTAAAAACAAACATACACATACAAAACATAAAAACATAAAACCATCTTCCATTTTATATACATACAGCGTGTCAGTTGGTTACATATCTTTTGTGCTATCCTTTTGTAGTCATTTACTCACAACTTACATCAGCCTTCACATTGTCGAACTAACATATGCTTATATATTTATCAGTTATTAATCATCCATGACTAAACTATTTATTCCATCATTTTATCCGAGATGTTCCAAGTTTTATCTTAAAATTTGTGTTATACTTTCAACCAGTGGTTATATGTATCTATATTATGTTTTATATCAGTCTATTAAATTTCTATCATAAAATTATCTAGTCTATTACTTTACCATGCCTTTTTATCCAACCATTGATAAAACAAATCCCATATCATATAAAATTGCTTGTCTTCTTGTTCTCTAATTTCAAATGTCAGTTTACTCATTTCAGCACAGTCCATAATTTTTTTGATAACTTCCTCCTGCATAGGTATTTTGTCATTTTTCCAGTTCTTCACAAATACAATTCTAGCCGCTGTTAAAACATTTGCAATCAAATATTTCAATTCTTTATTGTATATGTCCGGTATGACTCCCAATAAAAACATCTCTGGTTTAAAGTCTATATGTTGTTTTATCATTTTTTTCCAAATTAGGAGGACAAATAAAGCATTAGTGTGAAACTGATTAGGGTCTTGTCCATTTCAGATAGCAGCACAAGGGTTGGTGGTGTTTCCTAATCAACTAATTAAGGTTATAGAGTTGAGTGTCTTTCGGTTAGCATTTTTTAAGGGAAGTGCTGCCCTGTAAAGAAAAGCTGGTCAGAAAGTGATAGCTTGTTTAAGCAATCTCTCTGCTGGAGGGGCAAGAGGTTAAAAAAAACAAGTCAGGTACAAGACAGTGCATTAGATTTATATTATATCTTCCCTCCAATTTTAACTCAACTCCAGAAGGTTGATTGTGTGGGCACCTAGGCAGCAGCCCAAAGTTAGCCACTAAGCTTCCTAGCGTGCAGGGGAGAGTGGAGTCTATAGTCCTACCTTACCTTCTGAATGACACAACATATATCATGAGCATGAGCATCTTCTGTTTGAAGTTCTGCCTCTCATCTTTATTCTGCAGCACTCATAACGGTTGGAGGAGAGGTGAGAAAAAGATGAAAGGCATTCATGATGTACCTAGAATCTACAATGTCTATGCATTGTGGAATCTATAGATGCCAATATATCTCATGTATAGCAAAGCTCATTTGCTCCAGCTCATTTGCTCCAGAAGAATGTATGGTTCAGTTAGCAAACTGAGAATGTGGCAATGAAATTAGTTCAGGAACTGTAAAATGAAAAAAAATCAAAATGAAAAACAAACGTTAGCTTCCTCACTAGATTAAAATAACCTAGCTGGATGCAGAATGTTTACATTTCCTAGGTTTTTCTGTTTACAGTAATTTTCACCTAGTCATCTTAATTAAATCTCACAAAGCTGCTTATTTAGATTTCATGCAATTGAGAGACCAATCATCTTTGTTACCTTGAACAGGACTATCATATCTGAGCTGCCAAAATCTTAATGCCCCCTACATAGTGGAAAATTAGAGTTTTCTCTATTGATCTGCTGCCTTTTATGGATGTCCAGACTTTTTGCAGCTCAGATAGAGTAAATCTATTTTTATTTAATATACTAGCGACATCAATTGAATATGCACTAAATATTCTTCAAGTTAGTTTCTTTGGAAAACACGATTTTCAGTGCTTTGGGGCATTGCCTTTTTAAAGAAAAATTTCTAAGGAATTGTAATAAGTACATGTAATTGTCTAATAGGGCTGTGCAGCATTTGGAATTTGAAGTCTACTACACACTTCTATCCAGCTGTCATCCTTGTGTAGTACATATGCTAAAATTTATAATGAGTTCTCTGCTGGTCATATTTTTTAAATAGCTTTTATTAAAAGATTTGTATTAAAAATGTACATGCACAATAAGAAATACATTCAAAAATGTAAAAGGACATAGAAAAATGAAAAAGAATGGAAAGAGCAGAAAAGTTTTATAGATAGATGATGGATGGATAGATAGATAGATAGATAGATAGATAGATAGATAGATAGATAGATAGATAATAGATAGATAGATGATATATGGTATTCAGCTTTGTTCGGGTGTTTTCCCACGTCATTATAGTTGTGCTTTTAAAGTTGTAGCAACGTTTCGGCAGAATCTCATCTGCCATCATCAGGCTTCTGTATAGTATTCATCTGTGAGTCAGACTTTCACAGCCGTTTCTGTTTTAAATTTGGGGCTAGCCTACTGCTGTGCCAGAATGGTTTTTTTCTTCATCCTGATTGGTTGGGAGTCTTGGTCTGTGTTTATTGGTCTTGGAGTTTGCTGTGTTCTGCTTGATTGGTGTTTCTAATATCTTCTGTCTGTTTTGTAGCTTTTTTTAATCTTGATTGGCTGGCAACATTGTGTTTCCTGTATGGGAGGCTTTTAGTGCGGCTTCACTCCGAGTAAACAGACGGCTATCATTTATTAGGAAGCTAGGTTTCATCTGGGTGCCTGGTTGGGGTGTGTTTGAGCTGGAGGTATCGGGGGAGTCTGTTTGTGCCCAGGTGTTTGGCTGGCTTGTGGTGTGGAGATTTCTTTGTTTGAGAGTGCAGGCTTCCAGATAATTGACAGTCTGGTGGAGTCATCTCTTCTATTCATGTTTTCAGGTCTTTTTTTCAATCTCTATGGCTTCTTTGATAATTCTGTAGCTGGGGTTTTCTATAGTGGCTAGGGTTTTGGTGCCATTGAAGTTGATGCTATGGCCTGTGGCTTTCATGTGTTGGACTAGTGAGGAAGTGTGTTCCAGCTTTTTTACTGCATTTTTGTATTCATCTAGGTGGGTACTTATTCTTCTATTGGTCTGTCCAATGTATGTGGCAGGGCATGATGCACAGGGGACTTCGTATATGCCTTGGTTTTCCAGGTCAAGTTTATCTTTGGGGTTTCTTAGGATGGCTGCTATTTTTCTGTCTGTTTTGAAGGCAGTCTTGATGTGATGCCTGTATAGTACCTTACTGATTTTGTCTGTAGTTCCTCTTATGTAGGTCAGAACAGCTGTTCCATAGGTCTGTTCATTTTCTAGGTCTCCATTGTGTCTCAGTGTGTTTTTGTGGATCAAGCCAGTGATTTTGCTTTTGTGGAAGCCGTTGGCTGTCAGTACTTTAGTCAGGGTGCATAGTTCAGTCTTTATGTGTGTCTTGTCTGCCAAAAATAGCAGCCATCCTAAGAATACTATACAGAAGCCTGATGATGGCAGATGAGATTCTGCCGAAACATTGCTACAACTTTAAAAGCACAACTATAATGACGTGGGAAAATACCCGAACAAAGCTGAATACCATACATATAAATACCCACAAAAACTTAAGAAAACAACTATATATATATAACTTCTGATCTTCCTCTTGGCAGTTTTACACGCAATTCTAGTCAAATTTAAGATTACATCATAATTCTCTGCTGCTCATAGAGTTTTATCCTCCATGGAATATGCATGGGTTGCTATTTTCTAGAACGGACTGTGCCAACAATGTAATTAGCATGGATAGTGGGGTGTAATTAACATAAAACATGGTTGCTCACAGAAATATCTTGCACTTTTGGTTGGCATTGCATACCGAGCAATCAGACTTCACGTTTATTTAAAAGTTTGACAAAGTTATCCTATAAATGCTCATGCAATTATTAATGTGGACAATTTTATGAAGTATTTATATTTGCAAAGTGGGGTATGGAAATAAATGACTGTTTAGCAGACACAACTCAAGATTTGCTAGGCAACTGAAAGAAAGGCAGCTTAAAGCAGTTATGTACTGCTGAGTTGGACTTTTTACATAAAAATCCACTCTTGGCAGAAAGCAACTGCCAAATTGCCTCCCAAGTCTATAATATCCAAGTTTGACAGCTACCATAGTTAACCTGGAATACTGTAGTTGTAATTCCCTAACTATGCCTGAAGCATTGTCTTGAATGTTTCTTCTTGCCTGTATGAATAGAACACAAAAGGTAGGATTGTATTAGAAACAAATGATCAAAAAACAACTGAAGGAAACCAGCTTTTTTTTCTGCTAGATGTTGGCCTACAGAACCCACTAACTCATTGTTTCTCAACCTTGGCAGCCTTAAGATGGTGGACTTCAACTTCCAGAATTCCCCTCCCAATCTTAAAGCAGTCAAGTTTTGTTCTAACAGTGTGCTGCCCCGTTGTGTTGTGTGGATTTTTGCAGTCTTAGAAAAGAGAATTTGCCAACCCCAGTCAGCTAGTTTTACGAGTTCCAAATAAAAGCAGGCTTGTTGCCAAAACAGTGGACTTTTAAATGGGATAAAATAAAGATTGATTTCTCTTTTTAAAAAGCTTTCATTTGCCCATCTGCACAAATGGAATGGTATATTATTTGGGAAGGTGTGATAAATGTATCAAGGGAAAAAAGTATTCAGTATTGAAATCAGACTTGGAGAGGAAGTAAAATTGATGCATCTCTTGCCATTGCAGGTTCCTGTTTCCCAAATTGCCTTCAGCTCTGCTCCGCCACCACAGATCCTTTACAATCCTGCTCAGCAGATCTTGACATATGCTGGATTTTGTCCTTCAGCAACTTCTGTTCCTCATTATCCTTCCTATCATCTGCCCCTTCAGGTAGAGTGCAGGAGGTGGGCCAATACATCTAGCATTCACAGTGGCATCCTGGATTGGTTTTATAATGGGGAATTTTGTGTGTGAATCTATGGGTACATATTGGCTACTCTAATCCAAACCTGGGCGATGAGTATCGGGCGGACAAAAGAGCTCCTTTTCATATGTGTGTGTGTTATCAGGAATATCTTTTGCTACCACAGCTTAACATTTAGCATTTCTCAAGCTTAACAATTTGAATAGTCTGGCTGGTAATTCTAGGAATTAAAGTCCTCACATCTTAAAAGATGCCAGTCTTGATAAACATGGATTTTATAAGGTCAACAGAAATGGGTTTGTGCAGACAAAGAATCAAAACAAAGCAGATAAATCAGAGTTTTGTTGATATTGAAAGCTAACACAGACAATGTTTACAGATTGTGTTAAGCCAAGAGTTACCCTACTTTACCAATGGTCCTTGGACAAGACAAGAACAAGCAGAGTCAATCCTGAGGATAAGCACAAGCTTGTTTGTTTGCTTTATTGCTTCTGGCAATAGACAAAGAATTGGGCCAAGGATTAAACTAACCATAACCTTGGGATTCTGGATTTAAATAACAACAATAAGATATAATTAAAATAACCAAAGATTTACCAACTTAAAAAAATATTTTCAAACTGTGCTTCCTTATATACAAATGTGTCTCAATCCTTCCTTTTGTTTGGCTGGGTTCTTATATCATCACTACACCAAAATAAAATAAAAAACATTATGGCTTAGACTTGAGAATAACTGTAGGTTGAAGTAGGTGCATGTGTATGTGTATAAAACTTTGCAGTGGCAAATCCAGAATTTGGGGCTTAGAAATTAAGAAGTATATCAACATACATTTACTGTTTTACACTTCAGCTTCATTGCAAGCTTTTTCTTTGTCTTGGTGCAGCCTACCGGCAATTTCCCAACATCTTCGTCTACTGATGTATCTTTAGCTGATGACCCCCAGCCACCTTCTCAGGCCAGCTGTAACCATGGGGTGCCTCCTAATGCTCCTCCATTATACACATCAGCCTATTTCTTGTCAGGTGAAAAGCCTCCACCGTACGTACCGTAGCCAATAGATTATTATCCACCTGTTTTTGAAAAATAAAATAGCTTTGGCAGTGAGAACAATGTGTGCTGACTAGATTAGCTTCCATTCATTAATGTCATTTTGTGTGGCATTGTATTTCATCATTTTAAGTCTCAGTGTTAGAATGGAAAATGGGCAGCATAAATATAACCAAATAATTCATAAAATCAATGTCAATTGGCTATCAGGTTATTTCCAGGAATATCAAGTGATTTTTTTTCCCCTCACCCCAAGAAAGACATCTTCTCTGACAGAGTTAGTTGAGATTTATGTCTGGTTAAACTTAAAATATTTTTTAAAAAATAGTATGATTTCTCTTATTTACCAAGGAAAACCTTTAAACTGATTTACTTCTCATATAACTTCTATTAAATCCTCATAACTAAGAAAATCTGCCAGAAAAATGGCATTTATTTTCAAATGCATCTTTCAATAACAGTCATTTCTATAAGTGTTTTCCCTATATATACATTTGTATGCAATTTGTGACCTGAGATTTGTATTACAATATCTAGAGAAGAGCAGAATCCCCAAATTATAATGCAATCTAGATATTCATTCAATTACCCTTTAAAATGTGGACCAAACCAAATTGCCCAATTTTCCTGAGGCAGAACTATATATTGAGTTGTACTCAGGATCAGCTATAGTAATAAATAAGATTAGTCAAAACCAAAATAATATCCCTACATCCACCCAGATAGTTTAGCAATGCAGATGCACATTTGTTTCTTAGGTGGTTTAACTCTAACAACCGGTAGAATGCAAGGTTTATCTATCTTTTTTATTTTATTATGCAAAATCAACAATTTGGTGATTTATCTCCAGTAAAAAATTACCTAAATTTATCATTCATGACTTCAGCTTTGTTTGGGTATTTTCCCACGTCATTATAGTTGTGCTTTTAAAGTTGTAGCAACATTTCGGCAGAATCTCATCTGCCATCATCAGGCTTCTGTATTGGAACACAATACTAGAAGCCTGATGATGGCAGATGAGATTCTGCTGAAACGTTGCTACAACTTTAAAAGCACAACTATAATGACGTGGGAA